AGGGGCAGGGGGGGCCGTGGGTACCTGGGCTCCAGCTGGGTGGGCACCCCCCAGGTGGGCACCTCCTGCAGCCCCGTCCCCTTGCTGCCCTCTCACCCCTCGGGCACTGTGCCCCCCTTGCCCAGCTCCCCAGCTGCCCCCCAAGCACCCATGGGTGTCCCCCCAGTCTGACAGAGCCCCCCCAGCCCAGACCCCCCCGGGTGCCTCCACAAGCCCTGGGTTCCCCCTGAGATGCCTCCACACGTGTAGATGCACCTCCCCCTGTGGTGACAGCCATGTCCCCCTCGGTGACCGTGTCCCCAGTGTCCCCCAGTGTCCCCCAGTGTCCCCCCTGCTCACAGCCATGGCAATGGCCATGTCCCCCTTGGTGACTGACCCCAGTGTCCCCCAGTGTCCCCCAGTGTCCCCCCTGCTCACGGCCATGGCGATGGCCATGTCCCCCTCGATGGCCGTTTCCCCCAGTGTGCCCCAGTGTCCCCCCTGCTCACGGCCATGGCGATGGCCATGTCCCCCTCGGTGAATGACCCCAGTGTCCCCCAGTGTCCCCCCTGCTCACAGCCATGGCGATGGCCATGTCCCCCTCGGTGACCGTGTCCATGGGGGACGACACCAGCGGCGTCTTCAGGGTGATGGTTCGGGTCAGGGCCGACGTCAGGTCCTGGGGGAGGGGAGCGCCCCTAAAATCCTGACCCCCCCTGAGGAGTGGGGGCCCCTGACTCCACCTGACCCCCCTGCTCCCCCAGCACCCCCAGCAGCACCTGTACCCCCTAACCACCCCTGGAGGGTTGGGGTTCTGTGAGCCCCCACACCCCAAAACCTGCGGGGACCCCATGGGCATCCCCAACCTCAGAACCCCCCAGGAGGAGGATGGGGGGCACAGGGGTGTCACCGAGGGGTCCCGAGGCATGGGAGCCACCCCGTGGAGAGAGCACAGAGGGGTCTCAGGGGATCCTGGGGGTCACTCACCACCTCGTCAGCCGTGAAGTCGATGTAGCCGGGGAGGATGAGGAAGTCACTGTGGGGGGACACAGGGCTGGGACCCCTGGGCTCCCCAGACTCACCCAGACCCATCGCGGGGGCACCCGAACTCTGGGGAGGCACTGAGGGCAGGGAGACGTGAGTTGGAGGGTCAGGGGGTCCTGGGGGGTCTGGAGGGGCTCCTGGGGGCTCCTGAGGGCTCGGCAGTGGGGTGCAGGGCTGTCAGCTGGCTCCTGGCGGAACCGGGGGATCTTTGGGGGATCCTTGGGGCTGGCGCGGGGGGCAGTTGGGGCCTCCCGGGGGTCTCTGGGGCATTGGGAGGACCCTGGGGGCTCAGGCAGCCCCAGGGAGGCATCGGGGACTGCCGGGCCGTGCCTCGGGGGTCTGGAGGCGTCAAGAGGGGTCAGAGGGTTTTGGGGTGGGGGTCAGAGGGTTTTGGGGTGGGGGTCACCCGCACTTGTAGGTGAGGCCATCGGCACAGGCGAAGAGCTGCTGGGCCGTGAGCCCGTCCTCGGGCACGTAGCCGGCGCCGCTGATCAGCTGCTGCGCCATGCTGGGGGGAGGCTGGCACCGGGTGGGCACGGCGCGACCCCCGCCCCGCCCGGGCCGCCCTGCCTCCGGGACCCCCCGGAACAGCCCCGGCGCCCCCCTGGGACCCCCACCCGCACTGGGACAGGGACACCCCACCATGACTGGGACCCCACCGCACCCAGACCGTCCCCACCCCGGGCCGGGACCCCCGAACCACACCGGGACCCCCACCTAGACCCCCCCCACAGGACTGGGACCCCCACCCACTCCGGGGCTGGCCGAGCCAGGCTGGGGGTCCCGCTCCCGAGGGGGCCGGTTTTGGGGGGATCGGGGCGGTTCACGGGGGGGTTCCTGAGGGGGGCACGGAGGGGTCACTCTAGAGAGGAGTCCCGTGGGGGTCCCCGGGAGGTTCCTGTTGGGTTCCAGGAGTTTCCCGTGGGGGTCCCGGTGGGGCTGTCCCGTCCCCGTGGGGGTCCCGGTGGGGCTGTCCCGTCCCCGTGCGGGTCCCGGTGGGGCTGTCCCCTTCCCGGGGGGGTCCCGGTGGGGCTGTCCCCTTCCCGTGGGGGTCCCGGTGGGGCTGTCCCGTCCCCGTGCGGGTCCCGGTGGGGCTGTCCCGGTCCCGTGCGGGTCCCGCACGCTGCGCTCCCGCAGCGGAGCAGGGCGGGGCCATGGGCGTGGCCGTGGGCGTGGCCGTGGGTGTGCCCGGGGCGTGGCCGTGGGTGTGCCCTGGGCGTGGCCGTGGGCGTGGCCGATCCCGCGGGGCGTGGCCGGGGCCGGGACCGGCCGCCGCAGCCCCCCCCCTCCCAGCCTGCCCAGCGCCTCCCAGCACGGGAGCGGCCCCGGCGCTCCCAGTAACCCCTCCCGGGCACCAGCGGCTCCCCCGGCGCTCCCAGTAACCTCACCCGGGCACCAGTGGCTCCCCCAGTGCTCCCAGTAACCCCTCCCGGGCACCAGCGACTGCCCCCATCTCCCAGCGCTCCCAGTAACCTCTCCCGCACCCGGGGACCCCCCCATTCCCCAGCGCTCCCAGC